TGAAAAAATCAATTTCACTAAATTTCTGAGCGACGATTCACGGTTTCGAAATGGAAAGCCGTTTAAATTAATTACAGTAGTGACGTTTGTAGTCAGAATAATTAAAGGTTTGTGTTCATGCTGCTTTCGCGATAACAGCACCGACTCCTGCACGTATACCCCGGTCAAATTAGATTCTTAAATTCAATGGTATGTACTACAATAAATTGATGAAATCAAATAGCTTCACATATCTCAAAATTTACAATTTCCGAAAAAACTTTATGATAATTGCTAGTGCCAACATTACATCTTGTGGCAGACGAGAATGGACATTTTATACCCAGATCAAAAACAAGTGGTACACCGTTGGATATATCATTTGAAATGGAAAATATTCATTATCATGGAGAATGTGGAGACCGGGTATATGTTAGAGCCGTATTTGGAAAAACTGAGTATGTGCAAAATATACTATCACTTTTTTTATCAGTGCATATAAGAGCTAAGAATAGACTGGACTTTTTCGCTACATTTTTTGGTCCAGATTTTTGCACCCTCACCACTTTCCAACATACAGAATTTTTCCAAAATTGAAATTATTCTAGGGAGTGATTTTTTATTTGATTTTGATGTGAAGCTATGTCTCGTTGCCGAAACTGTTTTAATGTAACTCTTGAAACTTATCCTGTGGTTTTCATGTCCATAGGGATTTATTGTCTGACTACTAAATCAAACGAGATATGTTTGACTTACTGTTTATTGAACGATGTTACTGCCACCACGGTGGTCTTTTCAAGTATAATGACAATTAATGGTAATCGTACCACCGTGTCAGAAACTTCGTACTATAACAGTAGTTAAAAGATACCTACTTTGATTTAGCGGCCAGACAATGTAGTCCTACAGAATCTCTGTTTTTATCAAGTAATTCGAAAAGAACCATGCCTATTTTAACGATTGTCTGTCAATGATTTCCAGTGTTTCTAGCGGGCGCTATTGATTCCTCGATTACTATTTGGGTATTGAGATTCTGCATTTGACAGAACAATCTATAATACGAGCTTTGCGTCGTCTAGAAAGTGAGTCTTACTCCATAACAATAGCCCAATATGCAAACATTTAACTCACTGCGGATAAAAATTAAAGAAAATGACAAATTACTCCGTCAACACGAAAACTCGCAATGACACATTCGGACGATGAAGCGTTTGCGCATTCCTATACGATAACTACGTATGCGACGTTGTTAATTGTTGCGGCTTCAGAGTCATCCGACTAGCTGGCAGTTTTGCAAAAATAACCTAATAATAATTTTTCTCATCGCGTTATGGAAGATATATTGCTATGTACACATAAATACCTTTACCTGCTGTTATTAGGTACTCAGTAACAGCTATAAACAGAAAGCATTTTCCAGGATTGTGCAACGTGACAAAAAATTTGAGGAGATGTCTGCGAAAATACGAATGAAAATAGATAGGTCTATATTTTTTAGTAGTTGGTGTTTTTGTTGTTTCATGTATGTCAACTCGGTACCTATCACTTTCCACTTTTCACAGACAAACAAAGACAAGGAAGTTGTAAAAAATCAAACCATCACCTAAAACAATCGCAAAACGAATGACTGTTCGGCTAATTGCGATGATGATTGTGTCGTGTCATGTTTGATGCACACGAAATGGATTGAATGTTGAAAGCAATGGAAAAATTGTTGCTAATTGCAAAAATCTGAGACTCCTCCGTTGATTTTTATGTCTAGTTCGCATTTGAAAATGTGCAAGTCATCGGGATGCAGCGAAGCGACGTTCATTGTTTTCTGAGTTCATTAAATTGCGTTTGTTCAGAATCGTTCAGATGCCGGAAAGCTAACAGACGTGTTTTTATGTTGCGTTACGTTGTAAAAGAGATTGCATCAAAATGTTTCAATACGATAAGATTATCTCATATTCTCTTTTCTTTTCAGGTAAGCATGCGATTCCATTGACTATTATGCAGTAAGCTGGTGGTAAGCTGAACAGTATTAATATTATGCAATGGAAAAGGAGGATGCATAAATAGGAAATCACTTCATTGGAATTACACTCTCACAAACTGGATAGGCAAAAAAAAATGATAAAAAATGGTATGAATGAAAATTGTAATATTTTTCAAGAATCATACTCTAAACAGCATTGAAAAGAAAATTACACAGCTATGCCAGAAAAAAGCTTTGGGAAGGGAAGGGGTAAGGTTGCCAGATGGACGGTAAGGTAACCGGTAAGGCAGGGCAGGAATATCTATGGACTAATTGCATGGGCCTGTTTGACTGACCTCATCCGGTCCGTTTCTCTATTGTACATGTTCGTAACTAATTTATTTCAGAGGGCTTAGCGTGTGCTGAACTTAGTCCTCTATGGACTGCTTACGGCGTTGCGTAAGAAGTGCAGAGTCAACCTACTTGACGCTCTTTTTCATAATTATCTTATTTTGAAATCCTTGTCGCATCCGGTGGCAGCACTTTAACAATTTCTGTAAATGCATAAGTTACATAAGCACATTTTGGATAACTTGCATATTTAAGCTGATTGAAAAGTTGAATTATAAACATTTTTTCGTCCACTTGACTTTGAGTACTTAGCGAAATTACTTTTAAAGTTAATAACCAGTATCATTTCAACCAAAGCATGTTTTTGAAATTGTAAACATTTTCATTCATATCGATACTGTGTGCAACAAATAGTTTCACGATGGTGTGGTGTTTTTTTCAATTTCTTAATCGCTATTGGATTAATAAAACAGGTTAATCTGAATTCCATTTTGTCCTCAAAAAATAACTCTTAGTACTACTACTGCTACTTACTGGTTGTTTGTCAGAGCGGTCCATAGGACTTTTGGTTAAAGTATTGGGTCAGTATTACTGGTTGCCCAGATTGCCTAGATACCAAACAAAGTCTAGGACTTACTACTTTAATCGGGACTTTGACCATGGGAACATTTTTTGAGGGTATGCATATAAATTATCTTATACCAAACTATCTTCAAGGAATTATGATACGGAACCAAGACATTTATCAGACATGTAAGACCTAACTACCTGTGATGGCAAACAAACATGTGTACAATCATTTGTACAGGGTATCCTGATAGTTACGACTCTCAGAAACAACTACGTTTGAAATAACAAAGATAATAACCAGCACCGAAAACATAAAAAAGAAATTGACGAAAAACACAAACTATTTGTTTTGCACGGCATTTCAAATAATGCCCTGTCACATGTTTTGTTTCTAATTCGTGCTTGAAGTTGTCTCTATTGGACACAAAACACGAGTTTATTTACTTCTTCCTAGATTTGCAACATTTGGGGCTGTCTAGGTATTCTACTGGGTCCACCCAGACGGCTTGTGCACGATATAAACAAAATCTACGCCTCCCTGATGTAAATATCGAGAATGACGTCGAGGTTCTGAATACTGGAATGCACTCGCGGAGTATCAATAGTAGGGCGCTCACGGTAAACTAACATCAAATCAGAAACTACGTTACTGTAGGAATGTGCCTACTTCGCTTTGTTTATATACTAGATTAACCTACACAACGCGCGGTGCCTGATTTGGATACTGAGTCACATATTCTTAATACCACAAATACCCTTTGACGTAGAAGAGGAGGGAAGCAGTGTCGGAATGGCTTAGTCAGATTTTGTCCGAGCTCAATATCTCGGTTATTTTAAGGCTTTGGTATCGTTGTGTTTTGCTATACGCCGTGAAAAACGGGAAGGGATCTTTCATCTGGAGCGGCGCATACTCGTCGTAGCGCCACGCCACACTCCTCGCTGGATGTAATCAGTGTGTTACTATATGGTAAGAGTAGACTCCAAGAGACACATGAAATAACGTTTTTTGACCATGCATTAACGCGATTTTCTTTGGGATTGGATTGCGGCGCGGAATTATGTGGTAAATCATCTGGAAATATTATCCTCGTCTGTAGCCAAAGACCAGAAAGAACATGAAACTGTGACAGATGTGACAGACTGGAATCAAAACCAGCCTCTCGGGCCGGTTCTAAAAATGCAGAACCAGGTCTTAACGATGACGTCATCGTTATGAATAGAATCCATTTGGTTATAAATTAGTCGACCTTGAATTAGAACCACAGCCTAAAGAATTTTCTTAAAGAGGGTTGACTGATGATTTCGTCAGTGTCAATAAATGTCTACAGTATATTCAGATAAGAGATAGACCGGATGTAAACAAAAGGTTCGGGTGATTTTCACGCTAACGCCGCCGTCTCGACGTAAAACAGGAGCCCTCATTGGTCAATTCGCAATTAAATGCCTATGCCGAGCGGCAGAGCAGTCGTATCAAGGCAGAGTCACATTCAGGTTCAGACGTGTTACGTATGTCGTGTGCATCATTGCAATTTGATATTTCTTGGGACGTTTTCGTTTGTTATCTTATTAAGTTGTTGAGTTTGTCGTTGTTATTGTTATACCTTGTTATAATTATAGGCTAATTTAAACGCCATTTTGAGATTATATTCGACTGTATTTCACCAAACATCAGACGGCATCCGAAGCTGGAAATCGAAGCGAAAATTTTGAAACCCTTATGTATATTTACATCATTATATATTTCTTACCTCACCCCCACATGATCCTATGTCCATCACCAATCGTATACACATCGAATTGTGCTAATTTACTACAAAGTTACGCAAAGCAGCATCTACTATCTAAAATATGTACTGCGTGACTCTTAATACGTCCCTGCCGAATGTTACAGCGTTCGATGATCACGTGGTCTTGTTTATGTCCGGTCTATCTCTTATCTGAATATACTGTACGTAACCCTATGCATCAATAAAATTACTGTCGTCCAGGGTACGCGGTCAAAAAATATCGCATTTCATGATAAATACTGGCGGATCACAGTAAATATTTATCGTGTCACATTCCCTTATGGCCAGCTGATGGTGAATAGAAACTGAATGCATTTTGTCTACTATTTACCAAGTGCAGTATAGAGTTAACATACTTGATATCAAGATTGTATGACCAAGAAAACCTCCATTGGCTGCATCGGCAGACAACCGGGCGACATTGCCGGTATTCGCGACGTTGCCGCACCCTCTAGTGTGGATCTCGTTCGGCGATGATGGCCTGAATAGATAAAGTCGCTAATCGGCGACGGAAATCTCTGCTTGAAGGATGCGACCAGCGAAGATTTGCATACGCTGTCATGCGTTTCGTGTTGCGTGTATGAATCTGCACATCCGCGATTGGCAACATACTGATTTATGTAGGTAGCCATGGTAATGTCAACAGTCAAGCGATGTTGGAGAAAATTTACCAGATTAATTAAAGTAACAAGGCAAGACATGATTCTATACACAGACATAGAAAGACGAACAGCCAAAAAATAATGAATTTATTATAACGAATTCTTGTCTACATGTCTCTTACGGTTAGGTAAGCAATTCATCAAAATTTCCAAAAATACAACCCTTGAAAAAATCTAAGGAATTAATAATTTGTTGAAATACTCCCATCAGATGATCGATTTGCTCGCGAGGTATCTCATCCCGGGCTACTTGTACCTCGTGCTGAAATGTCGCTGGAGGATGGGCTAAATGAAGTAATATTCTTTCCATAACGTCCCAGTCGTGTTCAATTCTAAAGATCTAGTCTATTGTCTTCCAAATGGACCAAGGTAATTAGGGCTATACGTGGTCGCGCATTATCTTATTGGAAAAACGGGTTGATGAACATCTGTATATAAGGCAAAACATGTGAGTACCTGTTGTCTCTGAGCAATACTAAAGGTGACCTGCTTCCATAAGCAATAGCCCCTGATACCATAATTCCAAGAGTGGGGTGGGTGCACATGAGTTTCCATAGAAAATTGAGAATCTTCTTCTTTTACCTCTCACCCTTGCTCGGCCATCATGCATTCCCAAACAAAATCTGGAATCAACACTAAAGATAATAGTATTCCAGTCGAGGTCCTAGTCCCAAACCAGTCGATGACTTTGGACCTGAGAAGTCTCCTATGACAATTTCATGAGGACGGTATGAACTGAGTTGATCCGGCGATAAACAATTCAGATTGTTCCTATGCTCTCCAAACCGCTGGTCCAAATTGACCTTGAGGACGAGAAGCGGTCCCGAGGAGCTCAAAGCCTAAGGCGGTGATCTTGGTGAGGGGCCGTTCTGCTGACATGCCCTGTACCTCTAACTCTTCGTGTACAGTCTTCCTCAATCTATGCTTGACTACAAACCACCGCCGTATTTAACCTTCTGTGCACCTTGGTGGCTATTTCTCTAAAGGACCAACAAGCCCTCTAATTCTCTCCTTGTCAAACTCGGCAAGGTGTCGAACAAGTTGAAGCAGCTCTGCACAACGTCTTGCTAACAATGTTTTCTACTAACTAGTACATCCTAAAAGCTAGATCTTGTGAAAACACGTCTAAGCTTGACCTCTGTGTAAGAAAGTTAATCGATCTAACGTAGTACTTTTGGATCGTCAAACTTTTGTTATGCTGAAAAATTTTGCGTGCGGCATCTGTATGTAGACAATAAATTGGATGGGTTGCCCATTAGAAAAACTATCGGAGCATTCACCTAATATTTGAGAAATTAAACCATTTGGTGGAAGTGCTATATCTAGTTTTTAGCTTTTTCTTTATCAGTTTTTGGTTATTAGGAGGCACAAATCAAATACCTGTCTAGCATTCTGTTCTTGTTTAGAAAGTATGACTTACATGCTATCAGACGGATCTGTTCAATAGTGTAAATTAGTGAATACCCACAAATCCCTAATAATACAGTCGATGATATTATCGAACAACAAAAACAAATATCAATCTCGCATTCACTCTATTGAACCTGGCTTAAAATGCTGTACGAAAAATAATCTCTTACATTGCTGCGGAAATTCTGGTAGCCACTAGGTGGATTCGAATAAGCAGCGTGAAATCTTAAGATCCACTGATGCTGATCCACGGGATCACAAATATCGTGTTGTCGTTACCAAAACCACAATCTATGTCATGACCACACCGTGACTCTACACGAACAAGGCTGCAATTGTTTTCCTGCAGCTGCATCTTGATTTTTTGTTTTGTTTCTTTCGCCTCACGAAAAGCAGTAATTGCAAGATGGACAATATAATGTACTTAAGGAAAATGAATGTATACATCTGGTTAAAAAAACAACTAAAAAACGTTGTCTAGATGCACGTCCAGCATCGTAGGTCGTCTTAGTCGTAATCCCCAGCTCTACATCTGATAGATACCCCGAAACATTTCTTATCACTACTACTAATGGAGAGATTTCGAACTCGTGCCAATAATGTTTAACTATTAACGTATACTTGATATTGCGATATTGACTTTACGGCTGCTTGAATAGTTATAAAAATCTATAATGATTGGTATTTTCTACTATATTTATTCCATCTGAACACCTGGTGTAAACCAATACATGTATACATATACAAACGTAAAGTGTGAAATCATGCGGAAAACCGACATGTACAACAAGGACAAAACAAAATATCATTTACTTGTTTGAAGAAAAAATAATCGAGCATGAAACAAATGAACAGCCTAGATTCTACATGGAGGTAGCATTTTGTAGAAATCAACTTTGCATTAGTATCAAAAGTTTGGAGTAGTTACAGGTACGAAACGGTGATAAGATAGCTTCGAACATGTCTCAGATTCATTAACAAACATAAGTGGCATAGATTTTTGTTATAGAGCACTTTTCAAACCCTCCTACTTATTTTTCGAGTGAGCCAAGTTTTCAGACCAAGGGTGGACGCCGTCTTGGAACATTTATCGCGTGATACCTCCCTATCAATAGCTTATCAGTCTAAAATATGAATTTACTTTGATTTAAAATGTCGGACTTGCGGGTTGTCAAAGATGAAGGTGTTCTTACATTATAGCTCAACAACTAATCACCATAAATTTATAAATATTTTATATAATTTGGAAGGGTTTATGTAAACGTGTTATAAGATACAGACAAAAAAATTACGTATATTCTATATATTTTTTTACAGATTGTTCCAAGAAAAGAAGATTGATATAATATGCTGTACTGCTTAGTTATTGGATGTTAAGTTGATGTGCTGTAAAATGAGATACCAAATGCCCCCCAGTCCATTAAAAAATGTTCTATCTAATGCGTTTCACCGCTACCTTTACGTTAAAATATAGTACATATTCATAAATCAGTTTCGCCACCGAAAGTTCCAGCTTGTTGACTTCCGTTCAAAAATTAAATAGTGTTGTTTAAAAAATACAGTAATGTCAAAAGTGTAACGTTTTGGTCAAATATTCCACATACCATTTTGTATGGATAGTCTCATTTCCTGCCTGGTGGTTATGATTTGTACAATGTATACGTTGGTGTTTCAACACGCGACAGTGTATTTTCCTTCCTTATGCATCGTACTGATAAGGAAACGAGGAATGCAAAGTGCATTTTGATGTTGTCAATGATGGCATTACATACAAATGTATTTCTAAGTAAGCTTTGCAGCTGGTGAGAAATGATGTACGTCAGACACAACTTATGGTGAATTTGCGTATGGTTGATAACAATCTTCTCTGTCTCATTCATAATATAAATGCAACTTGACTGATTTATAGTGCGGTAGAAGTTAACAAAATATTTTATATTGCAATAAGTTTGTATTTTGATGATATATAGTTTTGAACTCGAAATATTTTAAGCAGCATTAGCCTGGCTTCAAACTAATATTGGCATTTCCCAAACATACATATTGTAATGAAAACATCGTCCTTACTGTCTAAAGTCTACTTTATTACTCTACACTAATTTATAACACTTACAACTAATGTACGGCATTCTTATAATCATGTCGACTGGACTGTGTTGAGGCGTCGGTCGCTGTATGTTGACTCTGTCGACTGTAACTGCTTCCGCCATCTGGCCGGGTAGTCGGGCATTTATTCCCCTATCGACGAGTCGAGAACCATTCAAGCGTTTTCAAGTCCAACTCGTGAACTTCCATGGAAGTAGTCTAGATGGCAGCAGATTCATCTCCAGACGTGTGGGATACTCGTGGTGGCGTCGCGAACAGTCCAGAACGCGACCACCAGTTATACGAGCGAGTTGCAATATAACAAAATTGCAAAGGACCCCATTTGATATTTTCCGAGAATCCGCTTAAATTGAACGATACAAGGCAAATATACAAAAAATAACATTGAGGGTTTTGATCACTGATTAATGTATTTCATATCTAAAGCCGTGCCTGCACGAAAACTGGCTTATGTACCGATGGTTACAGCTGGCATGTGGTCGACCACCGTCTTGTGGTGTCAACTCTGCCACCTCGCGGTAGGATGTCACGTTCCCATCGTAGAGATTCTGAGAATACGAAATCTTATAAATAACTAACTGATCCATGGTGCCTAATTCGCAGAGCATCAAACATTTTTACTTGTGATGAAATTATCTTTTGCGGTTCTTCATAACCTTTTTTGCACTATTTTTATCACTTAGCAGTAATTTTAATTTCTCTTTATTAATGATAGAGTACCGATTCCTAGGCCAAACCATTTCGATGATTTTGTTTTGTCAAATTTTATAATTTATCGATCTATTGGGTTCAAAACTAACTAATTCTGAAAGTATAATTCCACACATATATATTTCTTTCTTAGTGACTCAGTATAGTGATGAAATATTTTGGGCACTAATTTTATCAATTAATCGCTGGTCCCTCGTAAAGTTGGTTTTCTAGGATTCGCTCTTAGGCAACCTACTTTTCATATTGATTGACAGTCCGTCATTTCCTTGGGTAATATAGGTTAAGGTGTGGGTCCTTAGTTGGTTTCTAAATTTTGGGATACTGGGCCCCAATCACCAGTTTATGGAGTAGCACCCTTTTTGGTACCTACCTCACGTTTACTTGTTTGTTTTGATTGTTGCTTGGTGCTACTCTCTCCATTTTTACGGGATTCTAACCTCTTCAGCGTAAGTTCTTTTCTATACCATCTGACCACGTGCATTAATGCATGTCCAGAAGAAGTTTGCTTAATAACCACCATCTTTGTAGCCGATTTGGATGACAGGTAAAATTCCATTTTAATTAACTCTTTTATAGATATTTATATATTGATTATTTTAGACTGAAATTCTTAGACAGTACTTGATTTTGTTTCGCATTTTTCGTGTTCAAATATTCCATCATCCATTATCATTGATCATGATTTTGATATTTGAGCTACCATAACTTTTTTAAAACAAGGGGAGGTGTATTACTTTAATACATTTTACTTTCTTTTTTGCCCTTGCTTTACTTTTCTTGTAAAAAATGTACATGGTTTTTCAAGTTCGAATGTTTTAATGAGTAGTTTTGTCTCACAAAGAGAATAGAGAGTAAATCTCTCTAGGTTTTTTTTTTACCATAAATTTTGAGAACGGGTCAAGCGGCTCATACTTCATGAGTTCCGAACGTCTTTGTCCACTACTGCCCTCTGGTGAGCTTTTGTGAGCTAAGATCATCTCGGCTGCATCTGAAGCTGTGACAAAGAAGTCTACCATACAGATAAGTTTAAGTTTAGGCGCTATAATAGGTATTTGTAAAACCTTCATATACCATCGTAGACGTTTAGCGGAGTTGTGGTCGCAATTTAATAATTTCATTGTGCGACTATTTTAAATAATACCTTGTTTTAATTAATCGGTTAATATATTGTGATTTAAATGTCTTGTTTTATTTGGATCTCTGTACAGTTAATTAGGTGATGTCATTGCTATTAGATTCTTTTCTTTCGTGTTGGTGGTCAAGCAAAACAATTGTGGTTTAATCCGTCTTGAGTCACTGGCGCTCTTACCCCCCCCCCCCTACTCTCCGCTTTATTAAGCTAGGGCCTTAATTGTACGCCACTAGACCGCTGTTTTGCATTGACTCACCATTTGACTGTATTCATCGTGATTTAATATTTTTTTTAATAAATCACAAAAAAAGGAGGAAACACCACCTTTCCCTTTATTCATAGAAAAAGGCGTGGCAATATGTCTAGGGTAGATAGTACGTACAAAAATAATAAAAAAAGTTCCTTTAAGTATATGTCTAAAAATGCCCCTCTGCCGAGTTTTATTCCGGTTCTACAGTTTTTGTGATATTGATATGATTTTATTATACCCGTATTATTGTATTTGTTTTCCCCCTATGAAGCATCTGCTTAGCCACCATATTTCTTCGAATGTAGGGCATCTTACTAAGTAATTATTATTCAACAGACGCATGGAATGCTGAAAAAAACCCTATCTACACACTCGAGCGACTTCAGCCATTCCACTTACGCTTCTATTCTAGTGACAAAGAATGTGGCAATAAACTAAATTTAGGGCAGCGTTTGCAAAAAGCGCTCGTATATCTGTCAGTTATTATGTAAATGTGTAATTTTCGCAGCGGTATCGTAGCTTTTAGTAAATTAGTTGCCAAGCTGTACAAGCAATTTGTCGCAGCATGATTTCATTTGCAGGAATTACAGCTATGCGTGTCGTGAACACACTTTTATGATCCTATAATTATCATATTTGCTAAGGTGCACAAAGAGACAAAGGGGCGAATTTATAAGCTATGAACGCCAGGATGTAAAAAACAGGTTGTGTCGCTAGATGCGTCCTGATCTTTAGCGTGGTGTCTGGTGCCCGATTTTACTAGGTGCGCCCCGACCTAGTAAAATCGGGTGCGTGAGTCACAAATTATACCAATAAGAATGCGCCTTTGAATTAATGGATCTAATGAATATGGTTTCTTGTAAAATATCTCTCAAACTCGATAACATATAATTCCCATAATAAGTCATATATGTCTTAGTTTAGTTGCAAAAGCCTATTTTTCCATTTCCTTCCGAATATGGAGCCAAGTCCATAAAATGCACAATCAAAAAGAAGCATTTGCACCATACTCGAAGCATGGGCACAAATCTCATACAATATCTGGATGGATCTGACAGCATTTAAATGGGCATTTCATAATTGGAAATAACAATGTCTTACTGATGCTGTACAAAAGTCTGATTAATAAATTCTTTGGAGACAATTCCACCACTCAAAAAGAAGGATTTGTGGCCTACACGAAACATGGATCAAATCTGATACAATAGATTGGCATGCCGCCACTACTGAGCATTTTATTGAAAATATTTACAAAAATTTGTTTGATAAATTCTTTGACTACATAAAATTACAGAATGCTTATTATTTAACAAACATCCAGTAAATATTCAATTTACTTACGTACCGTGCGAATAAAACCTGTTCCTTAAGGCGGCTCCGACGCAGTGAGTTTCAGGCCATTTACAAGGGTTTAGCTGCTTCGGAATTGACGCTCCATTTTTCTATATATTTGAATAAAATTTATACAGTTGTTTCAGAAGACAATTGTGCTATAGAGCCACTTTTCTAAAAAAAAAATTTTTTCAGGAGTTATGGTGAGTGGAAGTGCAGCATAATTGTTGTTCGACTTCTCGATTTTTTTAAAAATAACCCAGAGGAAAAAACGAAAAAGTGGCTCTATAGCACCCTGTGGAGTCTTGTTTTTAGTGCACTGTGAAAATTTCATTGAAAAATATTCAAAAATGAAGCGTCAATTTTGAAGCGCGAAAACCTCTGCAAATAGGCTTTTACACGAATTTTATCCACTATCTCGTGCTGCCAGTCGAAGCAACGCGGCGGTGTGTACGGACTAAGAAAGGACGTATTCAGATAATTTGTTGTCCCAAGTTAAACACTAGCAGTTTTAACGTCGGTCGTTCGAGATAAACATCGGACCAGTAAGTCATATTTTTAATAGACTTCAATGAAAGAGGGGACATTTTTAATCGATTTTGATCATTTCTTTTTATACAATAGGCCATGCTTCAGAGGTGATACCACAAAAAATCATTTTTGTTCAATCACCCCAATATGGATATCAAATGGAAGCACTTGTACAAAACAGTAATACGAAAACAATTTCAAATCAAGATGGCGGCCTTTACAAAATGGCGGATAACATACTTGCTAATATCTCAAATAAGAGTCGTCGCCTTGTACAATACAGTACTTCACTAAAAATTTGATTCCAAGATTGCCGCCGTTTCGAAATTGCGAGTTACATATTTTTGTACAAAACCCCTAATTTACATATCAAATGAAAAGACTTGACATGTGTGGTAAAATACAGAACTTTGTGACCAAAAGTTTCCAGGTGGTTCCAGGGTCATTGGAGGCGGTAATCTTTTTAGTTAAAAATAATAATTATAGAGAACGCATTTAACACAAATAAAATGTCACTTGCTGTTTAGCTTTAACCTTATGGAGTATCGTAAAATAAGCTTAACATGATAAGCGTCATGAGATATAATGCGTGTGTCGCACCTCATTTGGCGCTTTGGGCCTCGTGACACACATGATATGTCTCACTGCTGGCAGTTATATTTGGCCGCGTAACGTAAGACGTGTGCCATGCTGATGTGATTTTCTTACGGGAACCAAGAGTCCGTGGCCTGAGGGACCAAATTATACTGAATTGGAAATGAAAACATTAAAAAACACGTTGTTTATAGAGTTTTACAAAAAGAGGATATTCTACAAATCTAAAACAAAAAGCAAATCTTATAAAATAATCAGACATTCTCATTCAAAAATGAACAAAGTAATTTCACAGCAAATCAGTAAGTTATGGTAAATGTCGATATTCTAACGAACACAAATATGGAGGAACTCTTATAAACTAAACAGATTGATAAAGTCTTATGCAGGAATAAACAAAATACCGGTATAAATAAACAGTAATACAGATAAATATGGAATTACTACAACTACTATCTGATTCACTACCACTTGGAGAATACGCATCATATAAGTATACATCCCCACATAACTCAGTACTGTCACTCTCTTCATCCGATAGTATTTCATTACACAATTGTTCAAGCCTTTTTTGCTCCGCTTCGTAATGCGACATCACAAATTTGGTATTCAATAATTTATAAACAGTAAAGCAATTTGGACAAGATGACGTACAATACCAACAACGCTTCAATAATAAATGACACGAAACAGTGCTCAACGCGCGACATGATGTAAGTCTTGACTTGCAAAAAACGCGACGCGACTTATGTGCCACGCGACCCGACTGGTCTGTGGGCCACGCGACATACAACTAGTACCTCAGAAAAAAAAATCAAAAAAGGGGAAAAATCATAGGATTTGACAAAAAAGTCAAGTCAAAATATTAAACCGAAACTTAAAACAAGCTAATTTGACAATAATAACAGTTTGGCCCAGTGGACTGGATTTTCAGATTCTACTGTGGCGCTTAACGTGTCAATGTGACATTTCAATATTCGCCATCTAACAGACTAGAT